CTCTCTCTCTCTCTCTCTCTCTCTCTCTCTCTCTCTCTCTCTCTGTCTCTCTCTCTCTCTCTCTTGTCTTCTTCACCCACATCTCCCCTCACACAAAGACCACCACCGTTCCCAGATGATCATGTCCAAGCCCAAGCGCAGCTATGGGGCCTGGGCTGCGGCGCTACCACTTGCAACACCGTACTTTCTCGCGACCTCGTTCACGTGCACAAGCCCCTCCGCTAGCGCACAACAAACAGCCCGCGAGTACACGCTCCAGCAGCGCTGCCGCTTGCACAAGCAATTACCCGAATGCCCACTGCGCAGCCCGGCCCTTTCCTAAATGGAAAGTGGCATTCTAGCTGCCTGCCGCTTGCCTCGTGGGACAAAGTTTCCAATAGTTTCACTCTCTGCCAAAGTGTCAGCACCCAGGCCCGTTCAGACAGTGGCCTGCGACCGAATTGGTTAGAAGAACCCAAGAACCAAGGCACATACATGTGGTGTGCGCTGCTTCATCTGCTTCCGGACGAAGCTGGAAGGCTCCCGTGTAATTTGTTGATTCTCACGAGCAGGGAGGATGCGCGTGTCAACTGTCTGGTGTCCACCAAAGCTTCACAAAATTCACGATTTCAGGCCTCATTGAAAATTAAGGAAACTGCCTTCACTTAGGGCAGGCATATGCTTGTTGTAAGGGCCTTATTCAGGTATGCCGAGGGCTAGATGGACAGACAGGGCAAGTGGAACAGTCTGCGACATATTGTACCGGAACCGCCGGGATGGCGGTCCAACAGGATGGAGATGAAGGGGTAGACGAACGAGGAAGTGGAGATGGAGCTGAAAGGGACGGCGCAGCTCCGACGCAGACTCAACACCACACGTACGCCAACAAGTGCAAAAATGATGAATGACGAAAAACAGACAACAGCTGGGGTATACCCCCAGCGGACTGACTGACTGGACTGGACTGGCCTGGTACCGACAGTGGTACGGGGCAGGACTGGAACAGCATACGGCCTGTGGGGTCAGGCCACGGCCTGGTCCCACAGGCCTAACTGGCAAATAGCCAAATAGGCCCTGGCTGTAGGCTAGGGCAGATGGAGGCCCGCTGCACGATCCTCAGACCTGTAATGGATCGCAAGAGCCATAAACACGCTATCCGCAAAAGCAGCGGAACTCTGCAATGAAAAGAAAGATGAGAAATCTAGGATGCGGAGCACGCTCCATGCGGAGTCCATGCGATGCAGCCTAAGCTACATAATGTCAAATGAAACGCAAATGTCTGGTATACACATCCTAGCTAACAGCAGAAAATGAAATGTAGCAATATACAGTCCTAAAGTCCTGGAGGCAATTGCCTCAATGCTGAAAGGAAAAAAAGCAATATGTCACAAGATAATGTCATGTCGCTGAACCATGAAGAGCGGGATGGTCTCAGAGGGGGTGAATGCAGCCTAAGAATCAAAACTCCTAAGGGCAGTCACACATGAAGATGGGATAGGTCATCAGGCTCAAGGTGGGAGAGTGTTAGCGAAATAAAACCAAGGACCCTAACAGATAGACCATCAGGGCGGGTATTGCTCGACAAAAGGATCACACCATGCAGGGTCGACCATGAAAAAAAAGGGGAGCCTGGAATAGGGTGGAGATATGCCTAATTGAAGGCATGCAAGGGCCGACACTAGGGTGATGAGGGCAGTGGGTGAGGGAAACATGCACACAACTCACCGACTGGGGGAGGAGGGAGCTAGATCTGGGAGCAAGGAAGCCAAGGTAACGCTACGGTCCCAATGCTTATGCGATACCAAGGGAGAGCCCAACTCAAAGAGACCCAGCTAAGTGAGAACCATCATGCGACAGATGCAAGGGAATGTACAGGGGAGGGTGGTGGCGTGAAGTAGTCCCGTCCAAAGTAGCTGAAGCCGATAAGATGGTTGAAGTCGAGGAGGTGACTGAAGTCGTCGAAGTGGTTGATGACGTCGATGAAGTAGGAGTCGAGGTCGATATCGAAGCACAGCCGCAAAACGCTGACATCATGAAGAAGTTGATAATGGAGTACCTCATGGTGTGAGTCAGTAGGGAGATGGTAGGTGATCAGAGTGTCAATCGTCAAGACGCCGAGGGCGTTGACGAGTGCCTTGTGGATGCGCGGAGGCGTCCGTCTGCTGCTAAAGGACGGACTCAGAGGGAGCAGGCTCGTCCTGAGCGATCTCCTCGGTCAGAGGAGGAGGAAGAGGGTCAATCGGCTGAGTAGGAGCAGATGTCTCAGCACGACGAGCACAATCATATGCACATACCAACATCCGGGCGTGCTCCAAGTGCGCGAGGGGCTCCCAAGTAGCCTCCTCATCAAGATAACCCTTCCAACGCACAAGGTACTCGATGCGTGGAGGGATATCGTCGGTGGCGAGATACGATGTCCGAAATGACGAACTCCTCGTGATCGTCCACCATGATAGGTGGAGGGCGCTCATAAGGACGTCTGGCAAAGCGCTCGGACGGTCTGCAATAAGGACGCAGCAAGGGGACGTGGTAAACATCATGTACGCGAGCCTGTCGAAGGTAATCAGGTAGCTTCACACGAAAGTTGACCGGGCTAGTGGCAGTATCAGAACCGACGGCCTGAAGGATGCGGCATGGGCCGAAGAAACGACGCCTGAACTTGCGAAGCGTATTTGCTTCGAGCTGCAAGTGGCGTGCATCGATGAGCACATCGTCACCGACTTTGAATGGATGATCCATTCGTGATCGGTTCGCTCCTGCGGCCATGAGAGTCTGGGAGTCGGCTAGACTCTCGTGTGTGCGCTTCATAATCACCGCCATGTGGGCGATCCAGTCATCCAGCGCAGGACAACGAGTGTTTGGGCGCAACCGCGATGGTCGTAGGAAGTTCGCGGGTACGCGAGGGTGGTAGCCGAGGTCGCAATAGAATGGCGACATCCCCGTGGCTGGCAAAACAGCATGAATGTACGCAATCTCAGCGTGGGCTAAGTGCAAGTCCCACTGCTGATCATCCCTAACAAACTTTCGAAGGATATTACTGAGAGTTTTATTGGTGACCTCAGTCTGACGATCCGTCTGAGGGTGGTAAGACGATGAGAAGCGGAGCTGGGATCCGTACACCTCGTGTAGGTGTCACCAGAATATGCTGGTAAACCGCGGGTCACGATCGGAGATGATGCTCTGAGGTAAGCCGTGATCTTTCATGACTCGGTCGAAGACGATGTCGGCGACCTCACGGGCGTTAATGCGATAGCGGCATGGGACAAATCGTGCACGCTTCGTGAAGCGATCAACGACGACCAAGACAGCATCATGACCGCGCTCAGTGGGTGGTCGGAGGGGACCAATGAAATCCATCGAGATGGACTGCCAACGACCCTCGGGTATGGGTAAGGGTTGAAGTAACCCATACGGGAGATGATTCGCACTGTTCACTTCCTGACAGGTAGGACACTCCTGGATGTAGGCTTTGACGAAGTCCTTGGACTTCGGCCAGACGTATAGGAGGCAAACACGAGCCAACGTCTTGTAGAAGCCCATATGACCGGCAACTGCCTGGTCATGGAACTCTGCTACAGCCTGAACGCGGAGCTGTCCAGTGGAGGGAACGCAAATACATGGTTCTAGCTGACGAGATTTGCCATGCCAGTACATGAGACCGTTCTCACTAAGGGAGTATGAGGGAACGGTCTTGCCACTCCGCAGTGTCGCGTGGATGACGCGGTAATCCGGGCAGTGACGGTACTCGGTGCGATATCCGTCGATCACGGACTGATCAACAGTGGTGATGGAGATGGTAGCAAGATGGATGGGTTCCTGATTGTGATCAGGACGGCGAGGCAAGGCATTGGCGACGCGGTTCGTTTCACCCTTGATGGGCTGAGTGGAAAGCTTGGGCTTCGTGAGGAAAGCCTGGACAACTGAGTTGTCCGTGCGCACCGTGAAGGGTGCCCCGTGCAGGTAATGAAGCCAATGCCGGGTAGCATAAACTACTGCGAGAACCTCACGTTCATCGACAGCGTAGTTTATCTCGGCAGGCAGTCACTCACTGGAGTAGAAGGCGATCGGGCAATCCCCAGCACGAGCCTCAACAGTCCCATCCTTCGCGATGGTCAGGGAGTAAGTAATGGGAGGACTGTCAGTGGAGGGAAGTGGTGGGAGGATAGGCGTCAGTCGGGAAGCAGTGTCAGTAGGAGGGGGAAACACCTGAGAAAGTACCTGAGGAACATGGGGAAACACCTGAGAAAGTACTTGAGGAACATGGTGATAAGGTGAATCAAGAGGAGAGGGAAACACCTGAGAAAGTACTGCTCCTACTGCAAAATCTGACGCATCAGTGATGACGATGAAAGGGCGATCAAAATCTGGGAGGCGAAGAACCGGCGCACAAGTTACCGCCTTCTTGAGGGCGTGGAAGGCGTCCTCGCAGAGGGGTGTACAAAACCACAGCGGGTTCTTCCGGAGGAGGGTGGAGGTAAGGATGTAGGAATACCTAGCGTATCCCTGGATAAAATTACTATAGTAGTTGGTGAGACCTAGGAAACTGCGAAGCTGCTTGGCAGATGTGGGGACGGGCCACTCTGCAATAGCAGTGATCTTCGCGTCGTCCATGTGGAGACCCTGGTCAGATACATGGTGTCCTAGGAAGTCCACTTTGCGCTGGGCAAAGCGGCACTTACTAAGCTTGGCATAGAAGCCAGGCTTGCGTAAGCGCTTCAGGACATCGTGGAGGTGTCTGATATGGTCTTCTAAGGTACGACTGTAGACCAAGATGTCGTCCAGGTATACAAGAACATATTCTTCAAGGATGTCCCTGAAGATGTCATTCATCGTCGTCTGGAAGGTGGCGGGTACATTGGTGAGGCCAAATGGCATCACCGTGAACTCGTAGTGGCCGAAGCGCGACCGGAAGGCGGTCTTCGACGATCCTCTGCAGCAATGCGGATCTGGTAATATTCGCGACGAAGATCGATTTTCGTGAAGAAGCAGTTGCCTGACAGACGGTCAAACAACTCATCCGCGCGGGGCATGGGATATTTGTTCTTAACCGTGTAGCGGTTAAGGCCGCGGTAATCGATGCAGAGGCGGAGAGTTTCGTCCGCTTTGCGAGCACAGAGGAAAGGTGCACCCCAAGGGGAGTTACTGGTTTAATGAAACCCAGTCGAAGGAGCTCCTCAAGTTGATGCTTGAGTTCCGTCGCCTCTGGAATCGAGAGTCGGTACGGTGCCTGATGGTGAACACGATAGTCAGGAACGAGCTTGGATAGAATGCTCAACACCGCGCATCGGAGGTATCCCGCTGTATGAGAAATACGGATGGAAGACGTCGTGGTACTCTCGAATCAGGTCACGAACGGTGGGCTCTAGGTCTGTCGTGAACCGTGTGAGTTCCTCAATGTCTGCGTCGGCACGAGACGTATGTGTGGACTCGACAGTCGATGGCGCAGGGGCCTGGGACGTGGAGGGGGTATCCGCAGGCTGACGGATGGACGTAGAGATGGGAGCCGTGAAGATGGAGGAAGGGTCGGGGGGATCGGGCTCCAGAAAGATGAGCTCAACCTCGGGACAGAGTGGATCATAGCGAGGAAGATCCATGACGTTCACTGAGTAGAACGTGACGTCCTCCTGTCGTATGAAGTGAGCAAACTGATGAGGGGAAGTGAAGGCGATGTCAGGGTGGGACCCTGAGGGACGAGGGTCCTGGGAAGGTAGGTCGGGAGGAGTGTCGCCCGTGGTTCCAATGAAGGGGATGCAATGGATCTGACCACACTTCATTTTGAGAACGAGTGTCTCGGTCGCCCATTCGGCCTCTGTGCTACGGAACCGGCGAGACAAGGGAGTGCCAAGGATAAAGTCGTACCCAATCTCCAGCACGTCGAAGTATGAGGAGGAATGGTAGCGCCGAGGCGCCTGGGTACTATCCGGTGGCTGGAGGGTGAGGGAGAAGTGGAGTTCGGGGACCATCTGATCGAAGAAGCATTGTGTCTTGTTATCTCCGAGGGTAACGGAGATAGGAGAGCAGGACCCAGAGGTAGTTAGGCGAGCTTCCTCAACCACTCGAGGGTGAACGAAATCTCTCTGCGAGCAAGAGTCCCATAGGCGAATAGGGATAAATGGTAGGGTGCAATCAGGGTCAGAAAGCAGAGCGAGAAGACGACGCAGGACGTTGACGTGTCTCGTGAGTCGCTCCTGACGAGCCTGAAGAATGCTCAAGTCCAGGAGAGATGACACAACGTCATCGCGAGTCGCCAGCTGAGCGCTACAACGGGCTGTGCGAATGGCGCGACGAGTCGGAAGTCTCGGAGGGGAAACACTAGATGCGGCGGTCTGCTGTGAGGCAGACGGTACCTCGACAGACGACGGGGCAGAGGGAACTGCGTTTGTCATGTCCTGAGGATCCTCTGGTGGGGTAGCCAAAAAGGCAAACCGCGACTCGGTGGTCAGGAAGCCAGCTACGTTCGAGGCCAAAGTGGTACACTGCATCGTGGCTAGCTGGGTGGGGCTGGTTGGGCGGGGCCGGGGGGGGACCGAGATCGACGCTGACGAGAGATGTCAGCGTAGTGCCGATCGAGGGCGGTATGGTATGGAAACCGTGAGGAGGTGTGTCCATCTTGGCGACAACGAAGGCAGCCACGTCGGGCCTCAAGGGCGGCATGCTCCTCAGGGGATAGAGCTCCGCGAGGAGGGACAAAACCCTGCGGGAGGTCTATCTGAGAAATAGTGGGTGTGCGGGCGCCAACCTGTGCAACCCGACTGCGCGCATGACCCATGGCAGACATGGGCATCTACAGGCGCTCGGCCACCGGGACAGTGTCGTCATCCAAGTGGGTACTGGATGATGTCTCGAAGCTCAATGTCCTCGGGGGCGTCCCCAGTGGTAGGGTCGAGCTCGGCTGAGGCGTCCTCGCCATACTCGAGAGAACTATAGCGCTCCAGGTCGAGCCGGGCGACGAAAACGACCAGCAAAAGAGGAGCGGCCTCTGGTGATCCCGCGAGACTGGGAGGTGGCGGCTGGTCGCGAAGAGGATGGGGAGACGGAGAACCGACTCCGCATCCTCTGGTACTGTCTCGCAGCCTCGTAGGCCTGCTCTGCAGAAGAGAATGACTGCCTCCATAACTCCAAGCTGTAGTCAGTTGGAAGACTGACGAGGAACCGGTCGGTGAGGGTGACCTCGGGTAGGAACGTCTCATCACAAACAAGGCGGGCATCTTGAAACACCCGGATGTGACGCTCGAGGTCAGCCGGTGTAGAGGACCCGGACCATCGGGTCTGGGTGACACGGTCTAAAGCGTAAGTGGCGTCATGACAAGCGCCAAAGTGGTCTTGAAGGAAAGCCGCCAAGTCTGCGAGAGTAGGGACCTCACCCACGCGGAGGCGCTGGGTATAATAGTCCTCCCATGCAGTGGAAGGGCTACCTCGCAATTTGGTTGCGAGCACATCGCACCACAACTCCTGACGGGTGGTCGTCATAAAGAGTGTGCGTGTTGCTATCTGCAACCAGCGAGAGACGCGGGATGTGCCATCATACTCGGGAATGTCCGAGGAGCGCACAGGACCATCGGGTTTGGGTGACGCGGTCTAAAGCGTCAGTGGCGTCATGACAAGCGCCAAAGCAGTCCTGAAGGAAAGCCGCCAAGTCTGCAAGAGTAGGGACCTCACCCACGCGGAGGCCCTGGGTATAATAGTCCTCCCACGCAGTGGAAGGGCTACCTCGCAATTTGGTTGCGAGCACATCGCACCACAACTCCTGACCGGTGATCGTCATAAAGAGTGTGCGTGTTGGTATCTGCAACCAGCGAGAGACGCGGGATGTGCCATCATACTCGGGAATGTCCGAGGTGCGCACGGGAGGATGTCCACTTCGCTAATGGCGAGGGGAGAGAGATCGAGGCAAGTGCACTAAGGCGACGTAAGTCGGGGCCGCTGCAGGGGCAAAGGGGGGGGAAGGCTGTGGGCCGTGGCCACTGGCGGATGGACGAGCAGACGAGGAGGCAACGGCCGCGGGCAGCTGTCCCGGAATGGCTAGGTAAGAGGGGAGAGGTTGAGGAGCCGGTCGACGGAAATGAGCCGGCATGATGGGGGCCGAGGAGGTGGTGGAGGAAGAAGAAAGGTGAGCAGCCTGTGAAGGGTGAGGCTGTCTCAAGGCCAGAATCTCCGCCTGAGCCTGCGCAATGGTGGCCTGTAAAGTGGCCACTTGCTGGGTGCGCGGGGTCGAAGGTGGAGGAGGCGGAGCGGGTTTCCTAGTGGGAAGAGGAGTCCCAGCCTGGGTGGTACCCTGCTGTGGGGGTAGGGGACTGAAGGCGGGAAGAAGAGGGCGGAGTCATAATGTCGCGACCGTTGCGGGAAGCTGGGAAGCTGCACCAGTGTGGGTCGATGAAACTGTTGGGCCAGATGGTGGTATCTAGACCACAGCACCTGCGGCAGCAATAGAGACGGTAGAGGTGGCAGGTGCCAAGGGAGGTGCCGCAACAGACGGGGTGGTTTGAGCAGCAGCGGCACTCACCACTGCTGAGTGAGAGTGCTGGGTCTGAGTCACAGGGGAGGATGAACCACCACGTCCGTGTTGCCGGAGTCGTGGGGAACCGGCCAGTGAGTTAGCAGGGGATGGGGTGTGAGAGTGGAGGGGAGAGCAATGGGGAGAGCCCTTGAGCCGGTTGGGCAAGCGCATTGATTTGCGCTTGCAATGGTCCAAGCGTACTAAGTTGCGCCTGGATTGCTACAAGGACGGCATGAAGGTCTATGGTGTCCGCATGGGCCTGATCATGAGCCGTTGACTGCGCGGTGACCTGGGATGTGGACTGCGCCGGGACAGGGGACCACCAGTGAGAGGGAGGGGACCGCGAGAGCGAAGTGGGTAATCGTGGGTCAGCTCGCCCCGTGACCAGCGGGTCGCGCGTGAGAGGTAGCGCGAATCCGGTCGAGGGGAGAGGAGCCGTTCGGGTCCAAGGTGCCCGACGGGAGGAGGCGGGAGAGGTGGGGGGGGGGAGGGKGATTAGGAGAACCCTACACCCTAGAAAACCCTAAGAAAACCCTAACCGGAGTTTAGGTGGTTAGGGGAGGGTAGCGGCGACCTAATCAAGAAAAAAAAATAGTAACTATGGAGCGGAAGGGAGAGAAAATAGAATTAAAAAAAAATAATAATAATAAATAAATAAATAAAATGTAAGGAATGAGGAGAGAGTATTTATTTTTTTGGAATTTTCGACAACATTTTCCCACCCCACATGGGGTCAAAAATGTGCCAAGAGGGAGGAAAGAGCAAGAGCACACCAACTTTCAAAATACCGCAAATTAAAACTTTCAAAAAAAAAAAATAATAATAAATAAATAATTAGATATGTAATGACCCGCCAAAAACACAGACTGAGAACACTGCTGATTTCTGGGATTTGCCGCTGGAATGAATGCCTTGTTGAAATTCCCGCATTCTGCTGTGATTTCCATGTCTGTGTGTGTGTGCGTGCCTATTGGTTTGCATGCCTGTCTGAGTGCTTGTCGGTTGAGTGTGTGAGTGACCCACAAGGGTACTTGTTGGTTGCAAGGCCCCGCAGGGCCGGTACTTACCTGTGGCCGTGACTGTGAAGGGTTGCAGGGGAAAACACTCGAGTAGCGGGGGTAGGCCCGCGGCACTTAGAGCAGAGGGGAAAAACACTCAAGTAGCAGGTAGGCCGGTACCACTGAAGTGGTGGTAGAAGTGTCGGGTACTGGAGGCCGAGCAGAAGAAAAAAAGTTGGCATTTTTAGAGGCCCAGTAGCGGTAGGTTAGAGGTAGGCCGGTACCAGTCCAAGTAGCCCGGGTCTAGGGCCTGTGCAGAGGATAGCAGAGCCTGCAATGATGTTTCCCTCCAAAAGGGAGGAGGTACCGGTTGCTGGGAGGCCGCTCGGCCTAGGAAGCGACCGCCCAGGAGGCCGGTAGGCCGCTATATCTCCAGGAAGAGCAAAGAGCTCTTCCTCATTTGCGGTGTGCAAGGATTGGCGACATGCTGCTGGAGCGCAACGCTGGTCTGGTGCAGCGCTGCTTGGAGGTGAAGGGCCGCTGGAGCTCAGCCTGGCTATGGCGAGCAGTCCAGCTCAGAGAAGAGGAAGAAGGGGGCATGGAAGGAGAGTGGTGGGGCACTTACCTGGCTATGGTAGACACCATCTTCATCACCTTGTTGGGCGCTGCATCTGGAAGGCCCCAGTTGGGGTAGTGCGGCACCAGGGAAGCTCGAGGCAGAGTCAGGCATAGCGGACCAAGTCAGCAGCGGCATAGCTGCTTTGAGTGGTCCTTTGGACATCAGCACAGCACCATAGCTGCTTGGGTTGTCCTTTGGGCATCAGCGCAGCACCCTAGCTGCTCGGAGTAGTCCGCCATAGCCTATGTATGAGAGAGGAGGCTGAAGGAGGGAAGCCATAGCTATGGTGGACTGGTGGTTGTTGTTGTTGTTGTTGAGTTGAGTCAGCAGTAAGAGGGAACTTCGGATATTGATTCTGGTTCATCCATTCATTGTTATTATTATTATTGAGAGAAGAATAAGATTGGTGAAGAGGAGGAGGAGGAGGAAGGTGGAGAGAGAAGGGGGAATTGTCATTGGTCTTGTTGGTGTACTTCTTCTTCTTCTTCTTCTTCTTTACCTCTCCTCTAGTCTTTATCTCTTTGCAAGTGCTTTCGTTTCTTTCACAATTGGGTGGCATTGTCTTTCATTGTGAATTTGCACTTGGGAAATGACCAGGATCGTAACAGATAAATAAACATGGGGTCGAAGTGTGCCGTCATGAAAAAGACTAATTAAAATGGGAAAATTTGGCCAACGCTTCGCTACCCCCAAGGAGTCAAAATGTGCGGTAAGAAGAAAGTAGGGAGGAAAGACAAAATTTTGGCAGCACTTTGTTACCCCCAAGCTATGTTGCACACTGGCCGCGGCCGAGTTCGGCACGGGCCGCGGCCGGCGGCCTAGGCCGGGACCCCCCCGGCCGCGGCCGGTCCGGCTGAGTTTTTTCGGCCTCGGCCTCGACCGATCCAGGGTGCGGTTTCCGAAACGGGGAGCGGGTTTGAGGTGGGGGGGGTGCGGGGGCACCCCCTCACAATGGCAGAGTGTCAAAAAAATAAAAAACGGGGGGGTTTTGCATATGGCCCTGGGAGGGTGGGCCGCGAAAATTCGTGCATCCCCCGCGTGCGGGTTCGTCGATGCGGGGTCGCAGGAAAAAGGGTCTGGAACACTAGAAAAAAAAAATAAAAAAAAAATTGACCCCTGCGGGGGCGGCCCAACGGGGGTTGGATGAGGGCCTGGTTGGGGCGGCCCGTGCGGCCAGGTCGGGTCGAAGCTGGACGGGCTGCAGATGGCAGACCCCAGGCAGGTGAGGGCCTCAGGCAGGCGTCGATTTCATTCGTGAGGGTGATGACAGTTCGTGACATATTTTGAAACAACACATTCATGGCAATCATAGGTCAGACCTTGGTTGGCATACCAAAGTCACAACACATTCACAATCAATCACAATGCGGCCAACCATAAGTTTCAAACAATGTTAACAGGCAAGTGTGTCATAGACTCATAGTGTGTGTTCACTCATCAGACTGGTGGAAGTTTTTGTAAGAACATATTCATTAGCACATCATCCCTATTTGGCATCCGAAATTAACAGCACATTCATAATGGAGGGATCCATGACATGCAGGTGCGTGGCATCGGAGAAGCACATAATTTGCAACAATCACGACAACAAACCAGAAACCACTCACCAAACAACAGCGACTCAGATGCAAGACCAATATTGGTAGAGGAACACGAACAAGAGAAAATATATGACAAAGCATTTCAATGGAAATGCGTATGTACAAGGCTGAAGCCAAATATTGGACCCGTCGTCTCTACTGTACAACCGAGTAGCAAAAAAAAAA